CAACCCACGATCCCGACACCACTTTTGTTGCCGTGTGAGGAACAACAGTGTGTCCCTGTGGTCATATTATAAGCCAGTCAATCAGTAATGTTTATTTGAACGTTGCCTTAAGGCAACAAAAGTCTGTTATGTCTGAGATCAAATAACCCTGAATGTCCCCGATCTCAACAGATCTCGGAGGATAAGCAGGCTTGAGCAGTGTTAGTACTTTGATTGGGTGAGAGCCTGGGAATACCAGGTATTATAGGCTTGAGTCATGAGGTGGCCAAGAGATTACATTTTCGCAATGGATTCTCGAATCGATCCACGTAGCGCTTTGAGCAGTAACCCCCTGATGTGTGTGGCTTCCTCCCACAAGCCTCCTCCCATAAGCCAAACACTCATTAATGTAAGTGGCCAAACATCCAAATCTGCACCATCCTAGAAAAAGAGTCCTGACACTCAGTGTGGCTATCATATGCAAAATAAAGTTACTAATATCAACTAATCGAAGTCTGTTTCCCAAAGAGAGACGTAACATAAAATATAGGTTAGCAACTGAACACTGCAGCATGTACCGGAGTATAATAATTCTGGTGGGTTAGCGCTGCGGTTGTATTTCTCGACGTGCAATAGGATTTATGTGAGTTCAAATATATATATTTTTTAAGAGTCAATTTGTAACGTAATCCATCCAGGGTCCATGAAATTAATACCAATTTCTGGCAAGTCACAGCTGTGGGTAGGCTTGTCCCGCCCCCTCTCAAAGGCAATGTGGAATTTCCAAAACTGGTTTATGACTGCCAACAGACGTGAACATCCACGCTACGCTCATTTGAGCAAAAAAGACAACTTGGCTGTCCATAATGTTGTAAATGGGATTTGGCACACAATGCCTTAAATTTCGATGTAAAGCTTGTGACTGCAGGGATTCACCTTCTTGGTTCTTTCGGTAAAGTCACGTAGAAGGGAAATAATAAAATAATACAAACAAAACATAATAAAAGAAAAAATGTTTAACTTTTATTATTTCCCTTCTACGTGACTTTACCGAAAGAACCAAGAAGATGAACACAGAGAAGTGACTCATACGGTCTAATAGTGGGGGAAGAGTGGTACAGTAGGTTCACACATTACGCTATGGACCCAATAAGTTCACACAAGAGGCTCGTGTCATACAAACCGGTACTAATTCCTGCCCATTAACCAATCGGCACTGACCATGGTGAAGTGCGGTCAAACACTGCCCACGAACTCCAAGCCATGGAGAGAGACCTTCTTCCAGAAGGGCATTGGCAAGGGGCGGCTGTAAATTATTAAAATCGTACGAGAGAGGCAAGTTTAAACAGACAGGACTATCTTTGTCTATGTGATGTCACTGGATAAATATTACTCGGAATTGCCCATCACTCATAAATTGTTTATAAGCAAAGAGTTGGAACACAGTGAAACAATTTGGAAATGAGTATATGGACACAGCACACAACACAAAGAAAGTGCTGTGTATATATATACAGTGGGTTACAACACAAACATACATACGGGATGAACAAAACACAGCCTCATCACAGGGCCCAAACAACAGAGACAACATAGTATGTATCACATAATTGGTTGCCTACTGAAGATATATATCATTTTATACAAACCTCCAGGATTAACACGTCATACAACATCGACAACACAACTAGGAAGTAAGAATAAAGTCTATAGTTGGGCGCTGTGGTGAATTTTTTAGAGTCAAAGGTTGGTGGATTACCGGTTTGTGAAATCAATGAGCTGACAGGTGGCCAGGAGGTGACAGGACAATATGTGGGTACTTAATCTATCTGTTCAGAACTATGCGTGTTATTCCACATTGTGCATAGTGGGTCGCTTTCCTCCCACATACTGAAGACGTCTTATAATGAATGTGGTTTAACAACCCATATGCAGGACACTCCAGTATCTTAAGACTCAGTGAGGGTTTTCCCATGGATAAACAAGATTTAAATCAGGCTTTGCTTTAACAGCGCCTGGGATCAGACTTAATCGGATTGCTGTCTCACTAGGCTCAACAATGTTGGGTGATACTCATCTCAGCAGTTCAATTCTGGCGATTGCCCGATGATGCTAGTTGTAACTACCAGCGAAACATTGGACGACCTCACCGACTGCTATTCAACATAGAAGTGTGTTGGAGCAATAGAGAGTGGCGCGTTAGTCCACGTGACAACTTTATTCAGTTGTGCTGGGTGGAGGAGGGTGTACAAAACACATTTGAATTGTCCTCACGTGATCTGACCTAAAAAAAACGATGATGAATGACACTCAGAATTGCCACATTATTATTGTGAGCACCATTGCCTGACCACTGTCTAATTCCATACACTAACAGGTACTAGATTACTTTACCCATCTCAGCAGGGGTTAGAAATACGAACCACATTGTCATCATCATCAATCCACTGTTGGATGAACGCCTCCCCCAAGCTGTCACCGTTCCTATATGGTCCTGAAATGTGACGATCCACCTCGCTCCATGGTGGTCATATGTACGTGATATGTTGGTCATATGTACTGTCTATGTGTGGGGGTTATATTGTGGGGGGCTATGTGTGGTGGGCAATGTGTGGTGGGCTATGTGTGGTGGGCTATGTGTGGGGGGCTATGTGTGGTGGGCTATGTGTGGGGGGCTATGTGTGGGGGGCTATGTGTGGTGGGCTATGTGTGGGGGGCTATGTGTGGGGGGCTATGTGTGGTGGGCTATGTGTGGGGGGCTATGTGTGGGGGGATATGTGTGGTGGGCTATGTGTGGGGGCTATGTGTGGGGGGATATGTGTGGGGGGCTATGTGTGGGGGGCTATGTGTGGTGGGCTACGTGTGAGAGGCTACGTGTGGTGGGCTACGTGTGGGGGGCTATGTGTGGGGGGCTATGTGTGGGGGGCTATGTGTGGTGGGCTATGTGTGGGGGGCCATGTGTGGGGAGATATGTGTGGGGGGCTATGTGTGGGGGGCTATGTGTGGGGGGCTACGTGTGGTGGGCTACGTGTGGTGGGCTATTTGTGGGGGGCTACGTGTGGTGGGCTACGTGTGGGAGGCTACGTGTGGTGGGCTACGTGTGGGGGGCTACGTGTGGTGGGCAGCAGCAGTCTATGCTCCCTGTCTTCACAGTCCCGCACTTGTTGCCTGAGTCGTAAGGTCAAATGACATCCAGGACCGACAAACAGCATGGGGGGGGGGGGCTTCTCTCGTCCTGTAATGTATTGACAAAAGGACTCTCTTGCATGTTCGATAGTTGAGTTAAGCAACATCATCAAAGATCCCTCTAACTTAAAACGTAGTTTATCACAGCCAATGCAATGATCCATACTGGGGTTTTTTGGGGTTAATCCAAAATTATTTCCATGAACCCTCCACCACCAAACACAAGGTAGTCACGTTTACAAAGCTCGTGTTTATCATGTAATTGTCAAATTCCAATAAAACTCCTCACCGGTGGCTTAAGACGTTTCACGACCGACTTTAACATCAAGATGCGACGTTTTGAATAAGGGAATCGATTTCTGAGTTCACTTCCTAATGGAGCTTAAAGCAGTCCAGGCTTTCAAATGAGATTAATCTGGTTTATCTTTTCATAAGAGGCTCACCTGGTTCAAAACTATCATACGAAGCTCACCTGGTTCAGGCTCTCATACGAAGCTCACCTGGTTCAGGCTCTCATACGAAGCTCACCTGGTTCAGGCTCTCATACGAAGCTCACCTGGTTCAGGCTCTCATAGGAGGCTCACCTGGTTCAGGATCTCATAGGAGGCTCACCTGGTTCAGGCTCTCATAGGAGGCTCACCTGGTTCAGGCTCTCATAGGAGGCTCACCTGGTTCAGGCTCTCATAGGAGGCTCACCTGGTTCAGGCTCTCATACGAAGCTCACCTGGTTCAAAACTATCATACGAAGCTCACCTGGTTCAGGCTCTCATACGAAGCTCACCTGGTTCAGGCTCTCATAGGAGGCTCACCTGGTTCAGGCTCTCATAGGAGGCTCACCTGGTTCACGCTATCATAGGAGGCTCACCTGGTTCAGGCTCTCATAGGAGGCTCACCTGGTTCAGGCTCTCATAGGAGGCTCACCTAATTCAGGCTCTCATAGGAGGCTCACCTGGTTCAGGCTCTCATAGGAGGCTTACCTGGTTCAGGCTCTCATAGGAGGCTCACCTGGTTCAGGCTCTCATAGGAGGCTCACTTGGTTCAGGCTCTCATAGGAGGCTCACCTAATTCAGGCTCTCATAGGAGGCTCACCTGGTTCAGGCTATCATAGGAGGCTCACCTGGTTCAGGCTCTCATAGGAGGCTCACCTGGTTCAGGCTCTCATTCGTTGTAATATGAGCTCTGCCCCAGGGTTCTCCATCAAACATCGCCTTTGATTCGTGTGTGTTGTTATTATTACAAGCCACTGTCACGCACACACACACACAAACCCCGTGTAGAGACACAGGCTGCATTCGGCAAATGCCATTAACGAGCACGTTAATGGCAGCAGTGGCATGGATAGAACCGCGCCCGGCCACCTTCGTCTCCCCAGCAACTTGACAAAACTCACGCACGCGGAGCTTGCTACTCAAGGATGTCTAGGTCAACCGTTTAAGGCCGAGCCGACCTAGCGGGGGTCGGCTCGGCACAGGCTTCAGAACGACCACGTGCCACCCAGACCGCGACCGAGACTCGAACCCGGGTCGTATCGCGTTCGTCGCACGGCGCGCTAACCATTCCGCCACCGCTCCTTACACGTTACACACACACACGTTACACACACACGCGCGCAGAGGCGATCTCACGTCTACAGAGCACGTTCACCTCGGGTGAGCCGTTAATTGCTCGTCAATTAGCGCGGCTCATTAACACACAATGCACCTGCTCGCCGCCGCCGCCACCGCCTCCTCTTCCACTGTTAAGGCCTCGCATTAGTCAATCCTAACAGTGATCCGGAGTCTCAGTGACAACGACCACCAAATCGTCACCGCCCACGATTAAAACATTTTACCCACCGGAGCCTTTTGTAAGAGCCTTCGAAACATAGTTTTGATGAATAAAAAGCCGCCTCGTACCGCCTCGAACTGCCCCGTCCTACGTACAGTGCTTTCCCTGTCTCTGTGTGTACACACACACAGTGTGGACGCTACTGCACATAGACCCGCCTATGCTTATCCGCGCTGGTAAATACAATGAGCGCCGCCTACCCTAACTACGGTGTTGCGCGCGAGGCCCGAGCGTCCGCCTGTTATATTTCACACTACGGATAAACATCGGCGCAGGAGGGGAGGGGCCTCCAGAGGGCGGGTTTGTGGAGGGGGAGGAGCTGTAGGGGTGGGGGGGGGGAGCTGCCGATCGCCCTGCGCCCCCCGGAGTCACGTGCGCGCGACGGTTTCTCACGTGGGGAGGGGGTTGAGTGGGGGGGAGAAGTAGGGGGGGGGGGTGCATCACGTGATATGTTCAAATTTGGATATGCCGGAAGTGATCACGTGATTTAGATGGGGGGGGGAGCGGTGGTGCAGCGGTTAGCGTGTTGCGATTACGAACCCGACCACCAGAGTTCGATTCCCGTTCACGGCCACCAACACCAGTGACGATTATCTAAGCCGGTCCCTGAGCCTCCCCTATGTCGACTCAGCCTCAAATGAGTACCCGGTGCGTTGTGTAAAAATCATCGCCACTGGAGAGACAAAGGCGGCCGGGCGTGGTGCTGGGCCACCCACCCCAACGTGTAACCGTGCCGGCCTTCAAAGGTGCTCGCCTGCTGTTGCACTTGCCCCTACAGTCTGTTAAGGCTACCCGGGGGATCTTTGGGCGGAGGCGAGGTCATTGAGATTTTTTTTTAAATTAAAACACCAAAAGTGGCCTATTGTTGCACAACAAATTAAGTGTAATCTCTTATTGTTCCACGGATGTATGCAGGAATATAAGGAGATGTGTTCACCTTAAGTTGTTTTTATGCAACCATCCCAAACAAGTAGAGTCATAATACTCAATGTGATTATCCAGACAGCAACAGGCATGTGTGAGCATGGGACATGACGGTAGGAGTGATCCTACAGCTGCTGTCGAGAAATATCATCGTGTGGATGAATCACTTTTGCTTCAAATTTGCATGAGCTTTTCAGTCCTGAGGATTCCCTCATCGTTTACAGAAAGTGATACAAATGGTTTAAAACGGAAGCTTCCCCGCGAACACCAAGGCTCGTGATGAATTGTGTTTAATTTCCAGCGCCCGGTTGATTTTGCCCATACACTTGCATTTGTGATTAACGAATGAATCGTTAAAATCAGCCTTGAGTGTTGTTCCCTTCTAGATTTGAAATTTTCGTGACTGCAAGGATCCATTTGGTTCTTTCGGTAAAGTCACGTAGGTAAATTTTTTAATAATAAATTAAAAACAAAATAAAAGCAGCAAAATTACTGTAATTTTGCTGCGTTTTTTTACACCTGATGAAGGAAGCTTGTGTTGCCTCCGAAACAAAAATGAAAACTCAATTAAATCACGACGTCGTGATTTAATTTAGTTGTTTTCATTTTTGTTTCATATAATTTAATTTTTACCTACGTGACTTTACCGAAAGAACCAAAGAGTATGTTGTTCCCTTTTAGGCGTTTCTATCATCGTGGGGACATAAGTAAACATAAAATAACAACATAAACACGAAGAAAAGAACAATAAAAACAAACTAAAACACAAAATAACTGCCATCACCAAACACGGGCCATTAAAGCCCAAAACCAAGCAGGACCACAACAAAAAGAGAAGCAATTACAGCAGGAGAAAAAAAATAACTGAAGAGCTCAAGTTGCAGGCACCATTAAAAAGCCAAAGATGGCAGTGGAACGGTATTGAATAACCAAGGACACTGGAAAACAATACGTTAACAACAGCTTAACAAAGCAAAACATATCAGATGAGGCAAACAAAACACTTTGACAACGTTCATTAAAGATTGGGGGAGAAAAAAGCCCTAATCTTGTCCAAGTCAATAACTTGGGAATGACTGTTGCCTCACTCGGCACACAACATCCAGTATAACTACTCACTTTGGTTGTGGTTACAGAATATTTATTTATACTGGAGGAATCCAATGAGCTACAGAGCTCGTTTCCACAGATGTCCAGTTACAGAGACGAATGTCCACCTCCTGCAGTCCATCAGTGGCACTGAAAAAAGTGGGAAATTAAATCCTGGCAATGCCTACCCAGTGAATACTGCAAAGAAAGTATATTATCACAAACATGTATTAGAACTATTCTTAGTTTTTTCGGTAAAGTCACGTTGAAGAGAAACAACAAAATAACAAAATATATATAAAACAATAAAAAATTCTCACGACGTTTCGACCATAACTCAAACGGTCATCATCAAACCGACACACCTGATGATGACCGTTTGAGTTATGGTCGAAACGTCGTGAGAATTTTGTATTGTTTTATATATATTTTGTTATTTTGTTGTTTCTCTTCAACGTGACTTTACCGAAAAAACTAAGAATATGAATTACTGCAGTCACGAAAGCTTTAAATCAAAATGTATTAGAACTGTTTTGATGTACCTATTGAAACAACAGTAATACTAGCCTTTGATGATGACGTGATACTAGTTAATAATAACAATGTAATACACTAAATTTTTATTTAAAGCTTTCGTGACTGCAGGGATTCATATTCTTGGTTCTTTCGGTAACAATACAATTTTTATTTTATTTTATTGTTTCCCTTCAACGTGACTTTACCCAAAGAACCAAGAATCTAAATGTAATACACTGCACACCTACACATCCATTGAATGATCTTTATTTTGAGCATTATTGCATACACCATCACAAAGGTACATGATTCATAATAAAACTTACCAATAATAACCGTGTGCCTCTTTATAGGGACAAGTACAAGCTAATGGGCAGGTAACTATACCAAGACGCAACAACATTATATAATAGGCCTACAATTTTTGTGCAAAAAAATCTAGACATTAAACAAATAACCATCAGACAAAGGAATGGATAGTTCAAAATCTGTGACAGCATATTTTAACACGAGGCTTTCTTGACCAATATAATCTATAATACAGGTTTTTTGGGTTAGATCGCGTAAATATGAATGTGTCATTAAACCCGCCACCACCCGACACAGCCAATTAGTACGGTTTGTCACATACATAAACAGAACGTGTCAAATCGTTACTAGTACAGCACACCGGTGTGTTGGAGAGCAAATCCACAACATTTACAATCTTGAGTACGACATTTCGCCAGCAATTACAACTGGTATCAACAGGCGGCAGCCAGATTTGTCTGTTGGGATGTGGTCCAAAATCCAACTTGTATAATATCCCACACTTGTAGATCGGTCACCTATTTTTTTTAACCACCTCACGCAGGCAACTCTGTCCCTGCAGGGGAGGGTTGTCATGCATATTACTTAAGGGCAATTCATTTTGGTTGCTACAAGCGACATCCATAAGGTGTAAATATAAACCCAAATAAACAAGCACCCCTTTTTCTTTAGACGTGTATGTTAGCTGTGTGTCTCGAGCTGTGAAAAATGAGCTTCAAGTTTCATTGATCCTAAAAATATATTCTTTAAATCTAAAGCCTGGCATCGCCACCATTGCATACGCTCTAGTGATTTATCAACATGGGTTTATTTAGCTATTGAGTGTGCAGTCGGTGCAACTGCAACCGGTGGCCGAAGGGCCAGAGAGGCCTCGACAGCAGGTTCCAAAGAGATGAGAAATTGGACAGGGAGGCAGCAACGTCATTTAATTCCCTGCACCAAAGCCTATGCCAAGCATGCTATGCCACTTTTAAAGATAAAAGCCAACATTATTGTTGTAGTTGCATCTTAATTTACGACATTTCCACGGATAAAATGCTAATATAAAAGGGTTCCGCGTTGTGCACACTTTACACAATGCCGCCGATGCCTCACAGCTCCGGTTTTACGGGCGCCTCTTCCACAGCCTCAGCGCCACCCTCTTCCTCTGCGCTGGGGTTGAAGTTCAGCGAGGCGGAGTTAATGCAGAAGCGTTTCCCTGTGGGGGGTGGCCCGTCGTCAAACACGTGGCCCAGGTGTGCTCCACACTGTCGGGGGAGTGGGTAGCGGGAGGGAGAACGCAGTGGTGGTGGAGTCAATCGCTGCCCTGTGCCTCCCAATTAACACGGTTGGTTACGTACGGTGCGAAAGAAGTTCAACATACGTACATACATACCTTAAACATTATATTCGTGAATCGCTTGTGTTGCTATCAGAATGGGCGTTGAGCAATTATCGTCTCGCTTAAAATCTACTAAACCATGGCAACTGACAACATGGGACATTTGAGAATTAGTTGCCCGAAGGTTTTGATTTTAATTGTAAAAACCTGAAAAGGTTATTCTTATTATTTTTGAAACTTGTCTCCTACTGTTCTCTCCATACTTACACCATTACAAAACAAAGTGTTTTGTCGAAAACAAAGTGTTTTGCAAGGTTTTCTGCTAAATTCAATGGCAAAAGTAAAGGTGCTACCCTGAAATTGCTTGCTCACGTCACTGCTGGCGAAAGGGCCTCCAATAGTGGGAGCTCTAGAGATCTGCTGAGGGGTATTTTCTACCTACTCTTCCCTGCTCGCCTGGCATCTGCAAAGAGTTTGGAGTACCCACACTTTTCACCCACCAAACGTGAACTGCCGATCAAGTTACAGTGAGGGAAAAAAGTATTTGATCCCCTGCTGATTTTGGACGTTTGCCCACTGACAAAGAAATAATCAGTCAATAATTTTAATGGTACGTTTATTTGAACAGTGAGAGAGAATAACAACAAAAATCCATAAAAACGCATGTCAAAAATGGTATAAATTGATTGGCATTTTAATAAGGGAAATAAGTATTTGACCCCTCTGCAAAACATGACTTAGTACTTGGTGGCAAAACCCTTGTTGGAATCACAGAGGTCAGACGTTTCTTGTAGTTGGCCACGAGGTTTGCACACATCTCAGGAGGGATTTTTTCCCACTCCTCTTTGTAGATCTTCTCCAAATCATTAAGGTTCGAGGCTGACATTTGGAAACTCGAACCTTCGGCTCCCTCCACAAATTTTCTATGGGATTAAGGTCTGGAGACTGGCTAGGCCACTCCAGGACCTTAATGTGCTTCTTCTTGAGCCACTCCTTTGTTGCCATGGCCATGTGTTTTGGGT